ACCCCCTCGCTCCTTATACGGAAAGTGTCAGATAAAAAACCACGGACAATATGAATGCCTGAATAATGAGATTGATTTGATTTAAATGCAGAACAATGGACATTCCTTTTTAAATTTGCTTTTTTTTTTGTTGTAATATTTGAATATAAACAAATTCTAAAACCTAGGTCTATAGAATTAGTCTAGGAAAATTGTCGATTTTCAAAAAAAAAAATCCTACCTAAAAGAACTTTTCAGGGATGATAGGGGGAGGGTGGGTGATCATAAAACCGAAAATATCAAACATTCACCCCTCTGGCGTTTTGCGCTATAGGGGTTGAGAGTGCGCCATTGGCGATTACTTGGTACCTATTGATTTTACAAAAAAATGTTTCAAATAAAAGATGTGCAACATTATTTGATCTACAATGTTTATCTAAAGACTTTTTTGATTAAGGGCCGTCTGTGGTCATAAGGGCCGTTTGAAATTTTATAATGAAAATGAAAAATTTTAACCAACGTGAAAAATTTTTCTACAACTCAAACAACATTTTTGCTTTATGAAGTTTTTACTCACCCCCTGCCGTTTTTCAATAGGGGTAGTTTAAAGTTTTTTTATTTTTTTACAAAAAAAAAATTCTAAATAAAAGTTTTATAAGATGACATTTCCTACAATTTTTCCTAATCAACTTTTTTTGTAATTCACCCCTATTCAGCGGGGAAACACTTCCCTCGGGGAAATTTTAGTTTTTAGGCGTATCTATTAATTTTTTTTTCTTTTCTCGCCTTTAGTGCATATAAAAAGTTGCAATTAACATTGTATTAAAAGGATTTTTTTTCTACCACCTTTTTGTTTTTAGGGGTAGTTCGCCTATTTTTAGTGCTCCTCTCTTGTGTAAATGCACACTTAGAATACAGATTGAAACACATCGTAGTCCACACAGCCGCTGATCCAGTTTGTCCATCCACTAAATTCCAAATTAGAGCAGGCGCTACAAGTAGTTGAGTATGCAAAATGTGAGGACCGGCAAAAATGCTCATATTCGTGTTCTTGTGATCTTGAAGCCGGGCTCAAACGACTCGTGCACTTGGCGAATAATCGTTACTTGCGTATACTTGCCATGTCGTGTGAGTGGGTTACTTGTACAATTATTTGTCACTCGATGGTTTTCCATTTCTTGTCGGTAAAAATGTCCCGAGTCAAAGGGATCACGATTATTCGTACACTTGCCAAGTTCATACTTGTAGAGGCGCTCAAAAGAAATGCACAAATAACTGGCTTTTACTGCGACTACTTCATTTAGTTTTCGACGAGCATCAAGGTTTAGCCAAATGTTCGCGCTCGCGTACTTGTAAATTGAACACGTCGTGTGAGCGCCCTGCTTGCCATCGCAATTCGCAAAGCTCGTATACTTAATAGATTAAACGAACTTACCTAAGTGAAGTTCTATCTTAATTCTATGAAGCGCCTTTTCGTAGAGATTAGAAATAGAAAACAGGTAGTCAACCCTTTGCTACTGGAGTTTCTACAAAATTCAAAGCAACATATCGAAAAAATATCGATAGTCTGCCTTGACATCGCCCATTCCTAGTTATACATAACCTCATTAATTTCAAAGCAGCCCCTCGAGAAAGCGTCATACGTCATCCTGTGAAACGCTTTCACGAGGAGGCTAAATGACAAACACAGGGCAAGGCAGGACTCTCCCTGTGTGTAATGAATAAAATAAACATAAAATTTGCAGACAAATTATTAAGGGTAACAATAATCTTATGGGATTATTGGGGAGGGTGGGACTAATCTCTACGAAAAGGCGCTTCATAGAATTAAGATAGAACTTCACTTAGGTAAGTTCGTTTAATCTATTAATTCTATTTCGCGCCTTTTCTACGAGATTAGAAATAGAAAACAGGTAGATGTTTAAAGCAGTCTGCAAATTTTTTACCAGCAAATCAATTAAAAAAACGACTGACAAAAATAAGAAAAAATAAAGATTTATTATTATGATAATATGTCCAAAAAGATATAAATAAATATATGAACAAAAGAAACATTCTTATAAATTAACAAGTACATTGTTAATAACATGAAAAAACTCAAACGGTTATCACCACAGGTTACAAACAGTATAACATAATAATATATGCATAATAAGTATAGGTAACATAATATCAATTTCTTAAATTCTTATAGCTAATTCTAATTAATTTAACACAGCTCTAGCAAACAGATCTTTCTCTACTTGCAATGGCTTATTATAAAACACTGCAAAAACTCTGGATCCGGAAGACCAACCTACAGTCTTGCGTATCAGATCAACGGAAACACCATTACGTAAAGCTTTTGATGTAGAAGCATGGCGAGTGCTGTGGGAACTAAACTGATTAGTGTCTACCCCACTCAGTGTGAGAGTCATCCGAATCCATCGACTAATGCTTTGTGAGGAAGCTGCCTTATAAGGCTTTTTGAATGTTACAAATAAATATGGAATATCACCTCTTATAGTCTTAGTTCTTTCTATATAATTCAATAAGGTATTAGCCACACAAAGCTTAGGTTTCTCTTGGAAAAAAGGTAAATTTAATAATGGTTGATTTCGGTTAAGTCCAGAAGTTTTTATCCGGTCTGGTATTCTAATTTCTAGCCCCCCCCCCCCGAGTCCTTCTAATATTTTCAATCTTAATCAGAGAAAACGTCTGAACCCTATGCCCAGTCACCAGAGCAACTAAAATAACTAATTTCAAAGTGAGATCTCTAAGAGATAAGTCTTTGTCCTCTGACTGTTTTTCTAAATAATCAAGTACTATGCTAGGGTCCCAAGTTTCTGAGTACTTGGGCTTATTTGGTCTTAAATTCACAATGCCCTTGAAAAATCTCCTGATCCTAAAATCCTGCATTAAATCTGGACTAACCAACAAGCTTAAAGCTGACCTAAAACTATTAAGGGAACCAAAAGATTTCCCCTTATTGTATTCCCTGGTGAAAAAACTCAAAATGACAGAGACGGATGGCGAAAAAAGCTGTAAATTTTTTTCATGGCAAAATTCCCACCAAAGCTTCAGGGCAGTATTATACTGCTTTAATGTCGAAGAGCTCACCGATGCAATCATGATGTCTAGTGAATCTGGAGGAACTCCTTTAAGCTCGAATGCCTTCCTGAGCAGACACCTGCCACCAGGGTAAGCTGGCTCCACAAAGGATGTGGATTCCTGTCGAAAGATAATAATTTCCTATTAGGCTTTAGAAAAAGTGGTGGCGAGACTAATAATTTTTCAAATTTGGGAAACCAAGGCTGGCTGGGCCAGTATGGTGCAACTATAATGCCCTTCGCTCTATCAATAATAATTTTCTTCAGCACTCTGGGCATCAAACCAAATGGGGGGAAGGCATAAAAGAAATATCCAGCCCAAGAAATAGTAAAGGCATCAACATTGGAAGATTCGGGGTCAGGTAACCAAGAAATGAACGTAGGGCATTTTCTGTTAATTCGGCTCGCAAAAAGATCTATTGAAGGGCGGCCAAAGTTGTCCACAATCTTGGAGAATGCTTCATTTGATAAACACCACTCGTTATCGGATTCACGAATCCTTGACTCCCTGTCTGCTTCAAAATTATCTGCAGAAGAAATATAAGACGCATAAACCCAAATCTTCCTTTGCTCACACCATTGCCACAGTTCTTTAGAAATGCCATTCAATTTAGGGTATTGCACCCCCCCCCCCATTCTGTTCACATACGAAATAGTTGTAGTAGTGTCGATTCTCAAGAGGATTTCACAATCACTTAAGTCTGTAGCAAAACATTTCAGCCCGAAAAAAGCAGCCAGAAGTTCTAACGCATTAATGTGTAGAGTCTTTTCACTAGGTCCCCAAAAACCCCCAGTCTTTTTACTGTCACACACTACTCCCCACGCCAGAGGCGTAGAGTCAGAAAAAATTTCAAGGACAAACGAATATTGTCTAATGGGACAAACTGGAGACTGTAAACATTTAAGCCACCAATTAAAATCAGGAAACAAGTCATTGGATATGGTCATTACAGCATCGTAATTACCCTTACATCGCTTTAATGCTAGGTATTTTGCTCTCTCAAATGCTTCAGTATAAACCCAGCTGTAAGCAATGGCTGGACACGCTGAGACCAAAACACCACAAAACTGTGCAAACTCTGAAATCTTACAATGCTGTTTTGACTTAAACCTAATTAATAATCTCTGAATCTTCTCACATTTATCTTCAGGTAAACCTAATGACATCGTTTGTGAACAATAAATGAAACCTAAGAATTTGCACTGCTTAGAAGGTTCTAAGGAGCTCTTTTTAAAATTGATAATGAAACCTAACTGAGCCAGCGTCTGACAAGTTATGTTAATGTTCTGAAGGCAACAATTATAAGAGTCTGCCAGGAGTAAAAAATCATCGAGATACACCACTGATAGAAAGCCCCTTGCGCGCAAATGAGCTACAATTGGTTTCATGAGTTTAGTAAAAACCCAAGGACTTGTACTAAGGCCAAAGGGCAACACATTATATTGCCAAATGCTATCATTAAAAGTAAATCTTAAAAACTTTTTATGATCTTCTAAGATTGGAATCGAAAAGTAAGCATCTTGAAGGTCTAATGTGGCCAAGAAACAATCTTTTGATATCAAAACCAATGCCAGTTTAGAATCTTCCAACTTAAAGTGATCTGTTTGAATGAACTTATTCAGATTTTTCAAGTTTAAAATGAGTCTATTGGTGCCATCTGATTTAGGAACTGTGAAAATAGATGATAAAAACTGACCCTCACAAGGTTCACACTGTGAAACTGCTCCAATATTTACCAGATGTTTAACCTCTTTGAAAATACTTAGCCTCTTCTGGTCACTCCAACATGTCTCCTTAGGAGTATTGAGCTGAACCGCTCTATATGCAAAAGGTATTGAATATCCTTTTAACCATGATAGGATCAATGGATCTTGAGTATATTTGGCCCACACGTCGTAAAAACTTGACAGTCTGCCAGAAAATCTACTTACTAATATTTTCTGTTGGCCTTCTTGGATGGCACATATCTCCTGTTGGATTTTTCTTCTCGTCCCTTGGACTGGTGGTATTTGCTGTGGTAGTGGTAACTCTGCCCGCCCCGACGTTGATTGTAAGTTTTCGTCCTTGTCGACTGTCGTGACGGGCCCTGGGAGTTTAAATCCCTATTGTAGTTAGAGCTTGTCTTGGGTTTGAAAGCTGACTTCTTAGCAGATTTCAAGTCAGTCACATTCCTCTCCATCACCTTTGCCTCTTTGATCCTTTCTGTCAGATCCTCACCGAACAGCCATTCATCCAACTTAGCATTGTTTAGAGCATCCTTGTAATAAGTTGGTAACAGGCCTTGTAGTGAAAAACCAGTTATGATGGACCTACGTGACATGGATTCTGAATGGTACCAATCAGCAAGTAGTCTGTTGTAGTCACTCAGACCCTCAATTAATGAAAGTATATCTTCAGTCTTTTCCATTTTAAGGAGTTTAGAGAGTACTTTTGCGGATGCAGCCAAAGCAATCCCAATTTGGGTTTGTGTCACTCTCAATTTATCGTCTCTCTTCCTACCACTCTCATTTAGTGCCGAATAGATCTGTGTATTGCACTTGGGGGGCTCTAAGTATTTACAATTTTCGGGTAAAAGGTATTTCTTTAATAAGTCATTTCTGTCCTCCTCGACCAAGCCAGATTTAATGAGCCCTTCGTACTGGGAGGCTAAGATATCATGCAATGGTTCCCCAAAGACAGGATCATTGGAGCGAGTACCTAACTTCTCGCACACTGTGACATCTAAGGCCTCATTTTTGGGCTCATTATCAGTATTGTCCAAAGGGTCCTGATGAGGTTCTTCCTTATTCTCAGGGCCTAAAACCAAGAAAACCGTGTCTGAAAAACACTGTCTATAACAATAAGACCTGAACAATTGGGATAAAGAGTTCCACCCATGGGGATATGACACAGATAAATATTCCATGGGAATAACCACATTATTATGTGAAATAGATATCCACTGGAAGAACAAACCTGTACTTAGATACTAATGCTAAATCTCAGTCACCAATCATATCTCCACGGGAGAAATGAAGTCATTCACTGAATAGACTTACTTCCATTACAATCCACAACCAAAGGATCTTCATCCTCATGCCCACGGGGCATCGGAGAGCGCTCTGTGTGCTCATCATGTTGGGACAAACTTCTTGTAACACTTATGCATCTGCCAGTCCCACGGGGACTAAAAGGCACTCTAATACGTCTTCTGGAACGTCCAGAACTTAACGATGACGAAGAGGTATCCGAGGACTCATCACGCTGTCGTTTCTTACCCCTTTCGTTCTTAGAATGTAGCTTCTCTTCACTGCTCCTCTTTGATTTAATTTTAGCCTTTTTCTGCTGCAATTGCCAAATTTTGAAGTTAATAAAATCTTCCTCATTGTCTGAAAAACCAGAGGATGCAGATCTTCTTTTATTCCCCATTTTCAGCAAAAAAAACACTAAAATTCCGAATTCAAAATTTTCCGCGTGCAGAAACTCTAGTACAAAAAAGATTAATGAGGTTATGTATAACTAGGAATGGGCGATGTCAAGGCAGACTATCGACAGGGACGTAGCGAAGGCCTCTGGTTTGGGGGGGGTGACATTCCTAATTTTCCCAACTTTTTTGAAACATAAAAAAAATCATATATAGCATCGTACACGTGTTAAAAAGTGAAACTTTTTAAAAACTATTCCCTTCCTCATACAACTTTTAGACATAGCGCATGAGTCGAGGTATAAAGACGAAAGGCTACACAAAAGAAAAACGCGCATCTGTAGTGACGTCACAAGGGTAACGGCGCTTGACAATAATAGGCAATCCACTTTGTTTATAATCCTTGGTTTGTGTGAATCGTTCGTCGGCTGTCATTGTCATTGGCTGTCTTTCTCCGTCTGTCTACGTTGCCGCATATCTTTCTTCTCTCTCGTCTCTCGTATGCCGAAATTTGCCAAAACGTGTCGTTACGTTAACGTGACGCGTCTTTCAAAACACTTTACAAGAAGTTACACTTAAGAAAAATCATGTGCAGCATTGTGCACGTGTTGGGAGGTGAAACTTTTTAAAAACTATACCCTCCCTCATACAGCTTTTAGACTTAGCGTATGAGTCGGGGTAAAGACGAAAGGCCACACAAAAGGGACACGCGCATCTATAGTGACGTCACAAGGGTATCTGCGCTTGACAACAATAGGCATTCCTCTTTGCTTATAAACCTTGGTTTGTGTTAATCGTTCCTCGTCTGTGATTGTCATTGGGTACATTCAGGCGGTCCCAGCGGCTAAGCTCAGCCACTCATCAGGGACTTTATTCTCGAAACCAAGGATTAGCGTTCTCATAAGAACGATTGCTCTGTCATTATCAGTGTTATGCCGGACGACAAAGACAGAAACTTCGTTTCAATGAGAACGCTGCTCCCCTGTTTCGATAATAAAGTTCCTGCTGAGTGGCTGAGCTTAGCCGCTGGGACCGCCTGAATGTACCCATTGGCTCGCTTTCTCCGTCTTTCTACAGTCTACTATATATTCCTTCTCTCTCATCTCTCGTGTAACGAAATTTGCCAAAACGTGACGTTACGTTATGCGTTTTTCAAATCACTCTCCATATTCTTCTCTAAATATCAGACCGCCGCCTAGGAAGTTTCACTTCAAAAACTGATAAAAAGTTTGACATGTATACAGGGTGTCCCGGATAAGGATGCAGTTTGATCTCGACAACCATAAGAGATATAGGGTTGGTTAAATTCGGAAAGAGTTGCGCATTACTGAGCTCAGTGGCGCCATGTTTTGATATTTCGTAAATTCCGAATTACATACTCCGAAGATATCCATGAAAAACCGAATTTTGCCGAAATGGATTTTATTTTTTTCTGACTTTATTTGAAATGATATCGCACAATAAACTTCACATTCTCATTGCTACTTTTTCTCCACTACATGATAATGTTATTAGATTTTTGATCAGACGTTTCGTTTCTTCGCGATCATCATCAACTTTGTTTTTTCAAATGCTCCTAATTCCAGGAATAATAATTTCCACTAGTGGTACCATTAACGGGCCTCCGCGATCTCCAGACATTACACCGATGGATTCTGATAAGTCAGTGAACTTAATTCTTAAGTATTTCTCAAAAGATAATAATAATAATAATAATTAGTCCTCGCAAATAAGGTGCGCAAATTTTTGTATACCAATTTTTCCCAACTTTAAATTTTTTATCCAAATTTTCCCAACTTTCGATATATTTTAGGAACTTTGGGGGGGGCGTCGCCCCCCCCCCCCCAACCCCCCCCATAGCCCCGTCCCTGACTATCGATATTTTTTCGATATGTTGCTTTGAATTTTGTAGAAACTCCAGTAGCAAAGGGTTGACTACCTGTTTTCTATTTCTAATCTCGTAGAAAAGGCGCGAAATAGAATTGCCAAGTACGCGAATAATTGTGTATTCGCCATGTACACGAGTCGTCTGAGCCCGGCTTTAGCAATATTTTTCTTTAATTTAGTCAATGAACTTTAATGTCAAAATGTCATGTCAAAAATCCTGTCCAATAAAGAAACAATAATTCGACGTACGTTATGCTTTGATTGGTTTTTTTTTGAAGACCCCCCCAGAAAAAAATATGCCAATTGGCATATTTTTTTCTGAAGAATTCAAAAATGGTACAAAAAAATCATTTCAATTAAATACCAAAGAGTTACGCCATGGATTAACTATTTTTCACTGTAAGAATTGAAGCTGCACATGTTATTATCCTTAGTGCTGATACATAATATCTGCCCAGCGAGTATGTGTCTACGGGGCAACGGTAAGGGGAATGCAGTTGTAAAAAAAATGGCTGATTTCATTCATAAAATACCCAGCTGCGTGCGGAACTTTTTGGAAGTGTTATCGTATTGTAACTCGTACACGAAAATCAGCAATGACCAAATCTCCGCCACTGGATATTTCAATATAAATCGATATTCCAAGATAGGAGGATAAAATGACGCGAGCCCTGGCCAATAGCGAGACGTAAGATGACGTTAGCTCATTGTCAACCGTATGGTTCCACATGACAACGGCAATCCTGCCAAAAACTCCACCAATTAGGTTCATCCAGGACGGATGCTTGCCAAATTGTCAAAAGCTGATGGTATTTTTAGAAAATGTTTATTTTTTACAATAGGCCAAATTGAAGAAATGAGGATTAATGAATAAAGCTCTAGATAGGTATCTGAATTGTCTTGCAGTCTATGGCTTTTCTTGTAAAGTTAGGGGGGTAACAAGAGAACGGGGAAACCAGAAAAGCTGCCTGGATCATTGTTTTATTAGAAGTAAAAATAATTATGTGCAGCAAATGTCTACTGCAATAATAAGAGCAAAAGTAAGTGACACACATGATCACTACCCAGTAGTTATTCAGTTCAAAACAAAAAACAATATTAGCCAAGAGTCTGACAATAATGTCACACGCAAATTTATAGAAAAGCTAAACTATGGAAAATTCAAAAGGCTGCTTGAGCAGGAGCAGTGGAATGACATTTTTGAGATAATGGATGTGGACCAATGTGCCAGGTCCTTTGTGGAAAAATTAGAACAAAAAATAAACCTCTCATTAGAACAAAAACATATTACAAACAAAGATTTTCGTATAAAACCTTGGATATCGGCTGGACTGCTAGTGTCCATAAGAAAAAGAGATAAATTGAAAAAAAAATATGCCCAAAACCCTACTGATGTTATTGCCCGTAATAACTACCTCAAGCATAGAGATATGCTCTATAAATTAATAAAAACTTCCAAAATAAATTATTACAGGCAACTTATAGGCAGGTGTCAGGGTGATCCGCAAAAAACTTGGAAGACTATCAAAAACATAAATAATCAAAATAAAACTAATTTGCAAATAAAAAGCATAAAAACACAGGACGGACAGCTGATATCCAATGCTAGAGGTATGGCATGTGAGTTTAATAGGTTTTTTGGTACAATTGGAAAGAAACTGGCAAAAAAGATATGTTCTGCGCCTAGGCAGTGTCATAAGCCTTGGAGAAACCCATCTACGTGTAGATTCGAACCAATCACAAGGAATGAAATGATTTTACTAATAAATTCACTAAAATCCACAGCATCTAGCAATGATGGCATTGCCCCTAAAATTTTAAAAATGTTTCACCAGTATCTACTTCAACCACTGTTACATCTTACTAATCTAATCATAAATAAATGTATTTTTCCAGCTACCTTTAAAGAAACTACAATCATCCCTATTTATAAAACTGGTGAAAGGAATCTTATGACTAACTACAGACCTATATCCCTAACAAGCACTATATCGAAGTTAATTGAAAAATGTATAAAATCAAGGCTTATCTCTTTTCTGCAAAAACATAAAATAATTTCTCCTCAACAGTATGGGTTTCAGGATGGTGTTGGGACGGAGAATGCACTGTGTCGGGTAACAGACCAAATTGTGGATGATTTAGATAAAAATCTAAAAACAATAGGAATATTTTTAGACTTGACCAAGGCGTTTGACACTGTGTCACACCAAATAATGTTGGAACGACTGGATGATGTTGGTGTAAGAGGAAAATATTTGCAGCTATTCAAATCTTTCCTTAGTGAAAGGCCTCAGAAAGTCAGAATAGAAAACGAACTTAGTGAAGCATTCACGGCGGAATTTGGTGTGCCACAGGGAACAGTCCTTGGTCCTGTCCTTTTTACTATCTACATAAATGAAATAACTAAAATAACAAAACATGCACAGGTTATCTGCTTTGCTGACGATACGGTGTTGTTGATCGGTTCTGCCACCTGGAATGAGACATATACAAAGGCTGAAAAAGCTATTAATGATGTTAAGCAGTGGTTGGATATAAGTTTATTGACCCTTAATACAGAAAAGACAAATTTTGTCACATTCACTAAGACAGCGGCGACTCAGCCAACCCAGGAATGCCTGACAGTCCATGTTTTGGGATGTGCTTTGGCAGGAGAATGTAACTGTAAAACTAAACTCAAAAAGAAAGATTGTGTAAGGTATTTAGGAGTTTTTATTGATCAATGTTTAAAATATGAGAAACATATTGAATATGTGACGAGTAAACTAAGAAAGCTCCTGTATAAATTCCTACAACTTAGGCAAATCCTTAAGCAAAAAACTATTAAAATGGTGTATCATTCTCTTGTTGAATCTGTCCTAGGATATGGATTGGTTGTATGGGGCCTTGCGTCTAAAAAAGCTCTCAAACCAGTTAATGTGATACAAAAAACCATAGTAAAAATAATTTTATTTAAGGATAGACTTTATTCCTCCATTACCCTATTTAGTGATGCTGAACTGCTTTCCTTACAATTGCTCACTGTCAAAATTTTGGCTCGATTTATGGTCAAATATGATATCTTCAGAACCTACAAAAGTACAAATGTTGCCACAAGGAATGCGGGTGAACTTATTATACCTAGAATGCACTATACTAAAACTCAAAAACATATTGCATTTGTCGGTCCCAAGA